CATCTTATGGTTAGCTCTAGACTGCTGGTACATCTCAGTCAGAAGTCTGCCATAAGAGCATCCAGCCTCTTCTTGTTCTAGGACATTGCAGAATCATAGAACCATTTAGGTTGGAAAAGACCTCTGAGATCATCAAGTCCAACCTTTGACTGATCACCACCTTGTCACCACGACACCCACCATGACACCAAGTGCCACGTCCAGTTTTTCCTTGAACGTCTCTAGGAATGGTGACTCCACCACCTCCATGGGCAGTCTGTTCTAATGCTTAACAACCCTTTCTGTGAAGAAATTCTCTCAGTTGCTTCTCATATGACTCATCCTCTAGACTCTTCCCCAGATCCACTGCCCTTCTCTGAACACACTCCAGCACTTCAATGTCTTTCTTGAAGTGAAGGAGCCAGATTAAGTAGCAACAAAGCTGCATTTGCATCAAGATACTCCAACCACATTGGTCCATCATGGCTTTGCAGCATGCTGGATGGCTCAGCAGGTGTCAGGGTTCAATCTCCTCATATTGTGGTGCTAATTGGCTGTTAATTTTAAAACAAGCTTTAAAACAATTTAATGGCAACTTGACTCAGGGTCTTAAGGTATACCTCTAAGAAAGAGGTGAAGATGACTTTCATTATCACAGTATTTATAAGCAACAAGTGTTTTAGATGCTACCATGCCTCTAAAATTTCAAAGACTCTGACAAGTTGATTTTTGAAACTCAAAATTTATTTTGCTTTTGGAAACACCAATGAGCTATTTGTGCAAAGGTTAAAGCCAGTCCTTTATAAGTGGTCCCTATGGGATAACATCTCTCCATAAATGTCACAGATTTATGAGGCTTTTTTCTTTCAAGATCCTGCCTCAAAGTGTATCCATGAAAACCAAACCCAGGAATTGCTTCTTTACAGGAAAAATAATCATTGTTCTTAGACTATGTAAGTGGGCCACTGAACTCCTGTTTGCCATTGTGATGCCAGGGAATCCAAATTAGCTTGACTTCCATAGAGGATATAGGGAAGGAAAGCAACCAGTATTAATCAGAACAACACAAGCAGCTCCTCCAAATCAAATTAGTTTCAAGAGTCAGCACACAGAGTCCTTCAGTCAGTGTGGCCAAGATGAACATAGGCCAAACTTAGCATAAAAAAAGAGTAACTGGTTTAATATTTATCCATGGGGTTTGTGTCAGTTTCTATTTCTTCCTCTCAATCCACCTGCAGGAAGCTAAGAGCAAACTGAGCAAAGTAAACTGCTCATCTCCATGCAGCCACTCCCTTTGTGTGATGTTCAGCCCACCTAAGATGAGCTCAAAGGCAGGTACTGAAGATGGTGAGTGTCTAGATATTCCATTTTTTTTTCAATAAAGAGATAGGTGATAGGCATGGGATGGATTTTCCATTGAAATATTTGTCATGTCATTGTTATCATCTGCACTATGTAGACAAAGGACAGAACAGATACCTCCAGAGAGGTAGTCATCAGCCCTATTTATGTCAGACATTGCCTCTGAGATGAGACAAGCTGTGTGCTGAAAGAGGCTCCTCTTGGTTGGTGTCAAGGGAGTTCAGACACTTAGGCACATGTCTCCACCAAACACTCATATTTGTTCAAATAATTCCCTATATTGCAGAGACCAATTTGAAACATGCTAAAATTGGTGTTTTTAGATGATTGGGTTGAATAATTTTTTCTGGGGCATGGCCAAAGAAATTTCAAGGCAAATCTGGGCCATTGGTATTAATGACAAGGGTCATCATTTCTGATATGAGACCCTCACTGAAGAGAAAGGCACTGAAGCAAGTGTAGTGCAGGAGATTAATTCTACTGGCTTCTCCCTGCCAGATTTGTTTTCCTCTCAATCATTTTTTCAAACTCAAATTTTCTAGTGAAAGCTGAACAACAAAGTCAAATTGTAGAGTTTCTGTGACCAAAAGAGTTTTCATATGGAAAAAGGCCTCTGTTCCTCTGCTCCTGGTATCAATATCCAACACATATTTTCAGCTGCATTTTGACCCTGTGTGTTGCTACAGATAATGCAGTGGCACAGCTTAACTGTTTTCTATCGTAAAACCAAGTTTAAGCACAAGCAATTATTCTGTAATGATAATTTAAAATGAAGGAATAAAATCTGCTAATAATTTATAGGGGGAAAAAGCTATTTATTCCAAAGCTCTGACAGCTCCTACTAAACCTTTCAGAGTTTAGATGGGGCACATGAGAATTCACTCAAAGGAAAAACACAATTGTTAGCACACACATCTCAAGATGAAGGAGAACCTTACCAAAGCAATTATTCTGTAATGATAATTTAAAATGAAGGAATAAAATCTGCTAATAATTTATAGGGGGAAAAAGCTATTTATTCCAAAGCTCTGACAGCTCCTACTAAACCTTTCAGAGTTTAGATGGGGCACATGAGAATTCACTCAAAGGAAAAACACAATTGTTAGCACACACATCTCAAGATGAAGGAGAACCTTACCAAATGTAAAAACAAAAGAGCTTTTTGATATTTACATTGATTTAAACATATCTATCATTTCAGGGAACCTAAATGCCTTATTTTGTACTAGTTAAAGCAAAACTATTTACTGATGCTTTGTTATGTTAATGTACAGGTTGGGACTGGTGCTTCAAGTTGTTTTGTTGAAGTAGCTGCATGGAATATATGCAAACATTATGTTAAATAACCAGCTACTTCATCATTATTCCTGACAGAAATCCCTTCATTAAGTTCTACAGGAGGTCTTAAACTTGAATGCTTCAGCGATGTTGACATTTCTGATTTCTCAATTTATGTATACAGTTGTTGATAGACTCATAAAAATACCACACACACCTTTATATACATATAAATGGGAATAAGTAACAAATATATGCAAGCCAGTCTGCATTTACAGGCTAATCACACTGTAACATAAGTAACAGCCAAATATACTTATGAATTAGTAGTTTAACAATAGAAAACTGCTCAGTAAGACTTAAAAAGCAGCCTGTGCTTTTGGTGTTTGAGCAGCACAGAGGAGTACAGAGGGAGTTGAGAGTGTGTAAAGCTATGGCAGGTCCCTTGAGAGCAGTTCACCCCCAAGGCCATCTGGCTGATCACCCTCCCAAACCCATCCTAGATATTCCTAAAGCAGCCAAACCCAGGCATACAACCCAGAAGGATGTACTCACACTGCATTATCCATACGTATGCAAGTGGCATCAACACTGCTTCCTACAGAAGCCCTTGAGGGTTGTGTGATCAGAACCCTTCTTGTCACATCATGGAGACCATGTTCTTTTGCATATAAGATGAGTAGACATCATGGCATATAACAAAAGAGACATCATATGCCACTTGACCACCCCCAGCTGGCAGGCCAGCAACTGAAGTCACAAAAACTTCATTTTCTGTTCACATCTCAGGGAATCTCATGGAAGAGGGGACAGAGAACAATCTGGGCTTGCATGTGTTTGTCTAGTGATCCTCACCCCACACAGGATAGACACCTGTCCTCTGCAGGAGCTCTGGACTGTATATCTTCTTTGGCAGCAGAATTTTTCTAAGCAGTATTTGTCTAGATGGACTTGTTTTAAGGGCAAGAGAGACTGAAGTGTTTTCCCATGCATGCAATTCACTACATATTTATGCCCTTAGCAGGGGTTTACTTGCTAAAACTGGCTATATCTTCATCTTGGTCAACATACTTAAGGAATAAGGAGCCTCCTAGCTGGGCAGGCTATTTCAGCATCTCCTGCTGGCTGAAGAAAGCAGATTCTTTAGACTGTGCTGCATTCATTTTCTGCCTGACTACTCTTTGACCTTCTTAGCCAAAGTTGTCATTAACTCATTTGCAGCTTTGCATTTGACTCTATGGTCAGGTCAAGTATTAAATTCATTCTAGCCTCATTTTAGACTTCATGTGGTACATAACAAGTTCTTTTCAAAGGGAATGCAGGATTACATGAAGGGTGACACACATTATCTTGAATATATGTACATTTAAACCCAAAATCTGGCTGTTGACCACACTTTTTTTTTCTGCAATATCTAAGTTCTACAAAGTTGTTCTTCTTGCTCACCATTGGCAAAATACATTTCACCAGAAAATGAGCCATAGATAATTTTAAAATCACATTACTCCTTTACATCAGAATAAAATGCCTGTGCCTTACTCCTTCATTCTGAAGGTTTGCCCCAGACCTCAGAATTCATTGTGTCAAAAGGACCAACAAGGAGGCACTATGTACTCACAAGGACCTCAGCTGCATTTTATCATAACATGACTTGGGAATCAAGGAAATCACTGATTTATGGCTCAGGAAAAAAAGGAAACTAACAGATTTTGTTCTGTCAATACAATGCAAGTGCTAACAATATTTCTCAGTTCACTTCCCCATACCCCCTTCACCTCTAGAAAGCACTAACTATAACCATCAAAGAATTCTTTCTGGTCAAGCTATTTTCAAAAAGATTCATGCTTGTATGTGTGTGTGTCTTATTTTTGCTCCAATGAAGAAAAAAAATCCCAAACCCTACCCCCAAATTGCCTTCTAAAAATGCTGAACACCATTCCCCATAGCCATTATTCACCAACCACATCATGTTATTTGACAACTCAGTTGTTTTTGTAAAGCACTGTTGCCTGATTATAGGAAAACACTGCAAATAGAAGCACATAGACACTTAAATGATGTGCTTTTTATGACATCTTTCCAAGAACAACAGTAGCTAATTGTTGAGTTTCCTACTGGGAAATGTCTCTTTAATATGCAGATCCCTTAATGACTACTCTAATGCAAACTGTCAACACTACAGTAATGTAATCATATATATGCTTGTATATCTATATGCATATGAAAAGTTTAGCTCTTACTTACAGTCTATTTTATCATCTTTCCAGGTAGCACAAATCCAACACAGCTCATGTGCCATGTGGTTCACAGCTGCCAAGTGTTCTCTTTATTTTAAATACTATTACCAAAAGTATCCATAGGATTTTTTTAGAGCCACTTACTTGGTGCTGACTGGCTTTTGCCAACTGCTCATTGGCTGATTCTACATTAGATGATGCAGTCTCAATGTTGGCTTCGATACTATCTGCAAGAGAAGATAATAGAAGAGAATTATAGGGTAGAAACCTAAAACAAAGACTTTATACTGACAGCATTTCAGCAATTTACTCATGGGCAGAGAGGAGCAGCCTCTTGTTTGTGAACTGCAGCACTGTAGGGAAGTAGGAACACCACCCATGTTGATGAACACCCATTCAGTCAGAGGCAGCATCACTCAGAGCTCTCCATGTGTCCCCTGACAGGATGGAGGTTATCACTTATCCCACTCCCACTGAAACCAATGGGAGGAGTGACAGGGAATTCAAAGGAAAGCAGCTCAAGACTGATAAATTTACTAAGTTAAATTATAGAAGGGACATGGCAGATTGCATCTGGAGTTATCTCATTATTAGAGCTCAGGGATAAGATTGATCTGGGCATTGGTGGGTTATTGGCCATCCCCAGGTGTCTGCACTTCATCAAGTCACCTTGTACAGTATCACAGTCAACAGAGTCCATGGTGTGCACTTCATCCCACACAACAGCAGTTGGTCAGATTAAACAAATCACAACCCAAACTCCTGCACCACATTTCCAAGCTGCAAGGGATGTCTGTACAGATAACTCAGATTGAGACACATGGATAGAACTTAAAATTAATGAAGAAGAATCTCACTCTAGATCACTAGGTCTGGCACGGGGGGAAGCTTGGAGGAACCACAAGGAACCAAAATGAGACTAGAAAAGAAATATTATTAGCTGCACACTTCCATCAAAACCAAATATTAACTCCAGAGCTGCATTTAGAAAGCAAGACACTGATGGGATAAAACTTGCAAATAAGGTTTTATATTTCCAGTAGAAATCTTAGAAATCTTGACCAGCTTATCCCTGAAGAGATGTGCAGCAATAATTTCTGGCCAAAGTGGAAGAGGATGTGCCTTTGTTCTGCTTCTCTGTGGTTTTGAGCAGAAATTACACCCTGGAGTATATGAACATGGTCAGAAGCAACTCAATCACAGGTAGAAAGGTGAGAATAAGTTTCCAGGGATTTCTTTAATCCTTAACAAAACTAATGGAAATTCTTCAATTAATAGTATTAGGAGTTGGATTAAGACATGGCACAAAAGATTCAAGTTGTAATTTATTCTTGGGTTCTAAAGGAAAGAATATGAATTAATATGGCCACTTTTGCGATGGGTAAAGAAATGAGGGTTTTCAGATAAACTGTGAAAAGTTTGTGCATTCAGGTTTTCCTTTTTTTAAGGGAAACTGTAAAAGTCTGTTAAGGTAATTATGCATTTATGATAATAGCTCCAAATAAAAATGAAAACAAAACAAAACAAAGAAAGAAAAGCCAAAACAGACAAACAAAGAGAGACAAACAAGAGAAAAGGAGCAAAACTCCCACAAATCAACAGAACCATGGAATAAACAAATTTCAGATTAACATTTAGAAAGCTGTTAAAAGTGTTTTAAAACCCTGGGAGAGATGCTTTCCCATTCCTTTTATTTTAGACTATATGTGCTGTAGTGCACAAGGGAAAAAAAAAATCTATGTGGTTAGCACTTTTATAGATCGATTTAATGTCATTTTATTTGCTATAGCCAATGCTTCCAAAACCACTTTTATTAAGACTTTAACACTGTGGACTTTGGTTGGCATCACTGACCTCTGCCCAAATGCTTTCCTTGCATTTAGGACTCAGCAGAAAGGGATCAAAAGGCCTCTAAGGAACTCATCCTCTGTCTATGAAGATATTCAAATTCTCTTCTACAGAGCCTTAGAAGAGCTACATCCACACATATGCACACATCAGTCTGACAGCCTTGAAGAGCTTCCAGTATTGCATTGAGCTGAAGGCATTTACAGTAAAGCCTCAGGTTTTTCTTAGCAATACCAGTTTAAAAAAATAAATAATTAAAAAGGTGCTGAATTATTAAAACGATGAAGAAAACCATGAATGGCACAGCAGCAGCACTCTGCAGTCAGCAGCATTTTTTGTCACTTCTACTCAGAATGGTTTGTGTTGGAAGGGACCTTAAAGACCATCTTGTTCCAATCCCCTGCCATGAACAGGGACACCTTCCTCTAGACCTGGTTGCTCAGAGCCCTGTCCAGCCTGGCCTTGAACACTCCCAGGGATGGGACAGCCACAGGTTCTCTGGGCAACCTGTGCCAGTGCCTCACTATTCTCACAGTAAAGATTTTCTTCCTAGTATCTAATCTAAATCCACTCTCGTTCCACGTAAGGCCATTCCCTCTTGTCCTGCCACTACATGACTTCAGAATTCCCTCTCCAGCCTTCTCATGAGCCCCTTCATGTACTGGAAGCCTTCTCTTCTCCAGGCTGAACATCCCCAGCTCTCTCAGCCTGTTTTCATAGGAGAGGTGTTCCAGCCCTGTGATCAACTTGGTGTCTCTCCTCCAGACTTGTTCCAACAGGTCCATGTCTTTTCTGTGTAGTAGTACTCAATGTGGGGTGTCACAAGAGCAGAGTAGAGGGGAAGAATCACCTCTCTCAACCTCCTGTCCCTGCAGCTTTTGATGCAGCCAAGGATATGTTTGGTTTTTTGGACTGCAACCAGAATGTCGAGTTGTATTGAGTTTTTCATCCACAAACACCTCCTAAGTCTTTCTCCCCAATCTCAATCCATTCTCTGCCCATCCTGTACTTGTACTTATGATTGTCCCAACATCTACTACCATAAAGAGTTGTGTGTGAGAAACTAGGTATTTTTTTGGAAGTGAAACATGGTAGACAGATTTCAACCCACCTTATCATTACATGCTCTTGTGAAAAGTACCTCTGCAGCCAAAACTGAGAATATATCCTGCTGGAACACTTGTTAATTTTTGAAGCACAAAGTCTGACCATGGTTTGTGGCTATGAAATAAAACTTTATGTAGGAAAGCACCTCCATGTTTTAAGTTACTTTGTGATGGGGTTTGGAAGGGATGGATTTGGGAAATTTGGAAGGGATGTGGGAAATATGCTGAACACTTTGACAACTGTCTAATCACAGTAAAAGAACTTGTTCATTCATATTTTCTAGGACCTTAGTACAGACAACCTTCTCTGCTCAGTGCCTCTTAAAGGCTGATTGGCCTCAGAAAATTAATCACTTAGGCAGAGATGAACTACAGAGGAGAAATTTATGAAATATATCCTGGTAAAACAAGACTAATCTCTCTTTACTTCTCTTTGGGCAGAGGGGAATCATACAAGGAACTTAATTTAGCTTCCTTAAAAGGCTCTCCAGAGGAACCCAATGCTTTCCACTGCCTGCAGGGAGGCCCAAGGAGATTTGCCTTCCTTAGATAAGATTAAACACTGTGAACACCCCTTAGTGCTGCATAGAATGGGATAATCATATCTTATGCACTGTGTTTTGCAAATATCATCTACGTTTTCCCCAACACAGACCTTCACAAGCAGGATGGATGTCCTGTGTGAGTTGATGGGATGTTACAGGAGGAGTCTGGACCCCAGTGGTACTGTATCTGCTCACTTGTTCTCCCAGTGGGGTAATATCAGCCTTGGAAAAAGCAAAGCTTCCGTTTAAATTCTTTTTTGAAGGAATTTGTACTCCTAAGGCACAGGGGGAAAACTAGAACAAATAAAACTCTACCAAAACAGCTGTAAAACTCTATAAAAATGAGCCATAAATATGTAAAGCAATTTAACTAGATATTTTTCTGACTGACATGGGAAAGCAAGAGAAGGAAAGAGAATTTGGGTCAAATTGCACAGAAATAAACAATAAATCAATGATGTCAATAAGTTAGTGATGAATGTGTCAGCTATTTCAGTGAATCTTTGTTGAACTAGTGATGGTTCACCACTTTACCCTCCTCACTGTCAGGCTCCTTGCCAAGGTACATGGCTTGAGGATGTGGAGAAAAGGGTGGTAGGATGCTTGGTAGACTGCAAAAACCTGCTGGAGGTATCTGCCTTTTCCTTTCTCTTTGGCTTTGGTAAAAAGGGAGAGTGACTCTTTTCCCAAATAATCCAATTATGGGTCTGGGATTTTTTAAAGAAACTGAATCCCACAACAATTTTCTGTCCTCAGTCTGTGATGATAAATTTATGATACAGTTTGAAAACAAAAACCCTGGGGAGATGTGATCACCCTTTCAGTAAACTGAGGGACAGGGTTGCACTGAGGTGGATGGTGGTTGCAAACAAACATACCAAGGAATTAAGAAAATATTTCCCATTTTCCAGCTAAAACACAATATTGCAATAGGAGTAGGGAAGGCAACAGAGCTAACCTGCTTTTAGATGTAATTTCATATGACTTTATGACACACTTATCACACAGAGGCAGAAATAATGATTACCCCAAGAGGTAACTTTCAACCCCAGCTATTTGCCTGTCTCCTGAGATCAAGCCATTCTAATGACCAACAGGAGTCTTCTACGTGAAATTACTGGAGTGACAGTGGCTGGAGTGGGGTTTTTTTGTCCTAATCTATCAAGGAATCACCCCTATGACCTGGGTCTTTATAGCAGCAACAATGGATTGGTTTCACAAGGCAGAATTTCAGTAAAACCACATGAAAGACAAGAAAGTGAGTTTGTGAATGAGCATTTTAAAATGCTTCCACTTGGCAGTAACCAAAATGGGCCCCTTCAGGTTTCATAGTAGGCTTTTATTTTTAGCACTTTAATAAGCATAACCCTCTTTTATCGCTACAACTTCTGGTTAAAAATAATCAATACAACATACTGAGAAGCACAATAAAAGAGGGAAAAAAATAAAAAAAATAAAAAAGCAGTATTTTGGTAATGTATAAAGGTTTCTTTCCTAATTAAAAGCCAAGTTTGGAGGGAAATTGCTTTCAGAGTGAAAATGAATCTTGCCCATTCGAATTGCCGTGTACTTGGGAAGTTTTAAGTGAGTGTCATTCCACGAACAAAAGACCCTCAGGCTTTCTACAGGCAGAACTGTAGATGTTAAGGGGAAGGAAAACTATGACAATTCTTCCAGAGCGAAGTTTTAAATGGCTTAGGGTTAGTCATTTGCAAATTTCAATGTAAA